AGAGTGCGCCCGAGTGCTGGACACTGCCAGCACTGACCCTGCCCAAGCGCGTGGCACTGCCCCTACGCTGCCCCTGTGCGAGTGCGGGGCACTGCCCCTACGCTGCCCTGGGCACTGCCCCTGCGCGAGTGCGGGGCACTGCCCCTACTAACGCTGCCCTTGTGCGAGTGCTGGTTGCTCTTGTGCGGGGCACTGCCCCCACGCTGGCCCTGGGCACTGCCCTGCGCGAGCGCCGGGCACTGCCCCTGCGCTGCCCCTGTGCGTGCGGGGCACTGCCCCTACGAGCGCGAGCGCGGGGCACTGCCCCTACGCTGCTTTTGTGCGAGTGCTGGGCATTGCCCCTCTTGTTGGGGCAGAAGCGCGACTTGCGTGGGATTTCGGGACCCCAGTGTGGCTGGCGGGGCCCGTCGTACTCCCCAAGGCCGTCGATGCGAGGTACTACCCCGACGGCCATGTGCTCACGGCAGCATCGGTTGCAGTGCATCCAGCCGCACCGGGGACACTGCCAGGCCTTGCGGACCGACGACTCGTCGTACGTGGGGCGAGGATTATGCTCCCAGCAGCAAAGGCCACACTTCCAGGCCACTGGATTTCGAAATGGGTTCATCATCGTCGTGCAGTGACTGCACACATGCACCATGCGATGCACCTGGTGCGGCTTGCGCCACGATCGTCCTGCGGCATGTTTTGTGTTTCGTCTCTCGCTCTCGCACACGGCAGGCAAGGGTCCCACACCTCAAGCTACTCACGTCGCGACAGCGCATTACCCTATATGATTTAACAAGCACTATCATACGATAAATGAAACTAGACAGCCACGAACTCCTGAAGCTGACAGGCTAGGGTCATTGCTCCCAGCAGTGCGACTCTACTCTGCCTGTCGGCTGCGCCATAAACAACAGCAGAGATGGCAACCGAAGGGAAGGATCACAAACAGAGTGCCGTAGCCATACAGGCAGAGAGAGAACGAAGTCAAAGGCAAAGACTGCATCACTGTATCATGTCTGCCTCATTTCGAATTCCTTATGCTTGATCGTCGTAGTCTGGATGTTCTCATGAATTCTGCATATGACGTCGTTTTTTGGCATTCCGGAGAGACTGCAGATTCAGATTCGTCCTCTCGCACCTGTTCTTGCAGAGAAGTAATTGTGCTTGCAAGGAATTTTTTAATTCCAATATTCGAACAGGATGAAGTCGATTCATACTGTATCAATTCACAGCCGTGTCATGTAAACTCACAAACTCTCATCGCCACCGTACTGTAGCACCTGAATGCCGTGTCATCGCCAATACCTCAAATGGTCGGCCGCAGACATGCAGGTCTCATCGCTTGTTCGTGCAAATGTGACTTTCACTCGTCAACCAAAGTCGCGCGGCCATCCCGCCATCGTTTCCAGCAACCAAGAAATCTCAAATTCATCCAGCAGGCACAGGGGCATCACACGACTCCCAACGTATGGAGCCACACTCTTCGCTGATCTGGTGGCCGTAGCAACATCGCGGGATAAACGAGCTTCTGGCAGCACTGTTTCCCAGGCAGATAGGTCACTACGTTTGGCATGCGGCTGACCAGCCACTTTGTGAAGCTTGCTTGAGGTGGCGAGCCTGCAGGGATCATCGACCGAAACGACGATTATCGGCGCAGGAGCGGAGCTCGTAATGTAGTAACGGCTGGCTCTGGTCTCCGACATGGAGTGAATCTGTTGACTGCAAGCGTCTGCCCCTTCGACCTCCCATCACGAGTTTTCCAAAAATCACACAGCGAAGCCTCGCGGCCTAAGCTTTCTGCGCCTCAAACTGGATAGTCTGGAACCCCGAGTTGACGCGACTAAGTGAGCACCACAAGCCAAGTACTTCATAATGAGAACGGGCCTGGGTCTTGCTGCTGCTCCTCTGCAGTTGCATCGGCTGCAACTTCACCGTCACCGTGCTCATCCTGATTGGCGACACACTGCTGCTTGCTGCTCGGAGGATGACGGTTGCCGGGTGCTTACTTGCTTTGCAAGTGTCAGCCTGGGAGTTTAA